CGCAGACACTCATCCTACATGCGTGCACAGTCACTGGTCCCACACACGTGCCCTCGTCATACTCTCGTGCACACGCAGACACTCATCCTACATGCATGCACAGTTGCTGGTCCCACACACATGAGCTCGTCATACTCTCGTGCACACACAGACGCTCATCCTACGTGCATGTGTGTACAGTTGCTGGTCCCACACATGTGCATTGGTCATACTCTCGTGAGCACAGACACTCATCTCACTCACGTGCGCACACAGTCACTGGTCCCACACACATGTGCACAGTCACTGGTCCCACACACATGTGCACACAGACACTCATGGCTCTCGCGTGCTCACACAGATGCTCATTCTGCACACATGTGCACAGATGCTCATCTCACTCATGTGAGCGCACTGATTTGATGGCCTCAGCCAGTCTTTTTCTTTCACTGAGTGCCCACCATGAAGACACCAGCTGCTGTATTGGGAAGAGAGGGGGGATCCACAGTGCCTGCCCAGAAGAGCTCCGAGATAGAGATGGCTTTGACCCTTCCACACAAACTCACTCCCAAAAAGGCACACGTGCTCCCCTCCATAAGCACCCACATGGTACTTCTCTTAGTAAAACATAAAAGTAAATACATCAAATGAAAAAGGGCAGAAAAGTTGAAACAGGTTTCAGAAGAGGATTAATACAGATAAGACAACAGAAAATTGAGGGAGCGCAGGTCATCAGATACAAAACATGGGGGTGAGTCAAGACGGAGAGGCCCCACAATACCCAGAAAGGGAAATTAATTAATTGAAATCACCTAGAAATCATGTTTCTGGATTGCACCCAGAGCCCAGCCTCTGGCATTTTCTTCTGAAGGCCTGTCTTTCTGAATTCAACAGTGACCAACAGGTTTGTAAGGCTTTATTGTGCAGGTCTGAGATCTTAGGGAACAGTCTCCAGAGTATGAGAGGCCAACAGATGTTTTCAGAGGGGCTGAGGTGGTCAGTGGGGAGGGAACTACATTTTTTGACAAGATGGATGGTCTGCACATGCTGAGACAGTGAGACGGGAGACAGGCACCTGGACAGTGATGTGCAGTTCAGGGATATTTGGAAAAAGCCAAAGACAAAAATGGTGCAACAAAATTTTGCAACTTGATGAGTAGTTGTCAGACTGGCAGGGGAGTGACATCACCTGGGTGTGTAAGGGGTGCACTATTGATGCGAGTTCAAATTGCTGCTCCTAGGAATGGTGGAAAGTGTCTGACACCTTCAGGAGGCAGCCACGCATGGGGGTTCTGGCAGATGGCCCAGTAGTTAGGGATAAAAGTTAAGGGACCATCTTGGAATGTTGTTGACTGAAATGAATCAAAATCTTTAAATATCTGCATGCCCCCAGTTGCACTGGGAAACAGTCATCCATGTACGCAAGCATTTATTTATTAGGCTGATCGTTTTGATTCATCTATAATGTGAAAAGGTTGGTAATAAGTTATTGTGTATCTAAGTGGTGGAACATACGGTGATCATAATATTATTGTATTTAGTCACACAGAAAAACGATCAGACAATATCAAGATCACTTCAGTGTCATGACAGGAAACACATAAGCACATCTCTGCACATACAAAAATTGGCAGTAAATATAGCAGAACATAAACAGTGGCTGTTTGGTGAGTAAAAGGCATTGTTTATTCATTGAATATTCCCATATTCTGAATATTTTCCACACTATGAATTGAAATA